TGAGCTCCTTGATATGTGCTTGAGAATGGCTTAGTCTCTGGTTAAACCCAGGTTTAAAGCCTTGCAGGGCAGCCTAAAGCCCACTGCCAACATTAAGACAGAAAAAAGAAAGAAAATAACAAATAGCTAATAATCTCAGTAACTAAAACTACAACTCTAAAGGAAGCCCTGACTTATTTTTCCATACAGTTGATGCAACACAGCATCATGCTGCCACCACCGTAATTGACAACTGATACATTGTTGGTTTGCAAGCTTCTTGCAGATGCCACCAAACACTTTTTATTGCAACCAGATATAAAATGCTTGCTATTGCTCTGTGGACCGTAAAGTTTTTTTTTTTTTTTTTTAAGTGCATTTATCATGTTAATGTAGGCAGCTGTAAACTTCTGACAAGCCTGTGACTTTGGAGGCATTTGGGCCTTTGTTTGCTCAGCATCCTTTCAGCCCAGGAGAATACTAAATTTGCAACATTCCAACAGTCAATAATTGAATTATTAATGGTTATTTATCAATTTATGGTTACTTAAAAGTGTACACAACCATTCTCCTCACATAAGAGTAATGTAGCTGAATAAGAGTAATCCCAAAGCATAATGGTGCCCCCCCCAGCTTTACCTGTGCATAGGTATGGTGGGTTGTGGTGACATTATCCCACAAGGCTTTGGAAGACTTTAGCCAAACCCAAAAGGTTTTGTTTGGAAAAAGTTTCTCCGTTCTTTTAATCCTACTTCTTGGTTCACAAATATGGGAAATCTAAAGAAGTGTTGCAACATCTAGAGCTCCGCCAGCCCGCTTAGTTTCCTGAGTAAAAAAATAAACTCCTTTGGCTTTTGGAGCTTTTCTAGAGGCTGCCTCACGGATCACAAGCTCGACAAACCGACACATGGACACCTAAAATCCTAGCTAGTTCTTGATTGTCCCTCTGGTGTTGTGGCGTGGAATACCACAGCGCAGACCACGCTTCTAAATTGTAGCCTCGTGAGACCATCCTGATCTCGCGAGCTTTCAGGGTTTCACTCGCAGATCAGTCTGGAGACTCTCCGTTAAAGAAAATTTGGAGCCGTTCACCAAACGAACGTCCAATCAGCGTTGGCTTTGAGGCGGGTTGAGGTGTGACGCAACAAGAAGCGAGACA